TAGTAAGTAGATCACAATGGAAAAATTCTAAAACATGTTATAAAAAGCAAGAGAACAAACCGGATACTACTTAGCGAAATATATGAGATTCTCCAATGATACAAATCCTCCACCACTTCGAATAGTGTATTTAAATGACATGAATAAGTGTATGGTTGCAATGTAAGTGTAAGGATAGGTCCGAGATCAACAATTTTGAACATACTGTTGGGCGATTTTTTAATGAATGAGATACGGTGTAAGTTCATCTCTTTCCGATCGCACAGTTGCATGTTAACTACGCTATGCATGCCTGCACCCAATCCCTCGTCCCCAAGATCATTGCCTAACTGGACACGTCAAACCATGATTATCTCGTTAAGTAAGCCATGTGGACACCTTATTAAGGCTTATAAATACCTCCATGGGTCACCTGCAAAAGGTAATTGAAACTGATGTAAATCTTTTTTTACAGTTTTTTCTTACGATAGACTGGATTATTGTAGATTTAAGCATAGGAGTGTCTACCCTGAGGTGGGTCCTCACCTTAGGGCTTTGCAAGTTTATTTGAGGAGAAGATCTAGACAGAAGAAAACTTAGTAGTTTGTTGCAATTACATTTGGCGTCGTCTATGGGAATCGAACCCACGACCAAATGGTTACAAGTGGTCTGGAAGCAGGAGGCTTGAGCTCCAAGCAACGAAAGCTATATGTCAGAGAAGTGAAACACCAAAACCAAGCTCAAAAGAGAAAGTTTGACAAAGTTGAGTGGAAGAATCAGCCCATCACATTCACATCTACTGATTTGGAGGGTGTTGTAATACCCCACAATGATCCGTTGGTCACTTTTGTTATGATCAATAACTGTGAGCTACAACATAGGCAATGCACCAAACATTATGTACTATCATTGTTTCAAGAGCTTGGACCTAGACCCGGCTCTGTTGTAAAGGTATAATGGTCATATTTACGGTTTCAACAACCAACTAGTTCCAATTGAAGGGGTTTTTACTCTCAATGTGGCATTTGGGCGTAGCCAAAATTATTTCACCCCTTCAGTTCAGTTCTTGGTTGTCAAGATGGTATCTTCTTTTAATGTTGTAATTGGTCGGCCCATGCTGACAGAAATTCGAGCCATAGTTCTCAATCACATTTGTGTATAAAGTTCTCCACACCCATGGGAATAGCGACATTGATAAGTAACCAGGAGGTAGCTAGGGATTGTTATATCACCTCAATTATGCGACCCCA